GGGAGCTGGGCCAGGGCCTGGACTACTTCTACGACCTGCTCTAGCCCCGCTCCGGGCCAGCCTCGCAGCAACGGGCTCGCGGACGTGGGAAATACAGACTGTTCGCTGCCTGCCTGGCCGTGTCTCTGCAGTCCTTGGGGGGGCCCCCTCCTCACAGTGCCGTGAAGAGAGACAGCCCTGGCCAGGCACCGTGAGGGCAGTCGCCACCCCAAGGTGCAGGGCTCCGGCTGCTCCATGCGGCCAGTGGTTCCAATGGGTCTGGAGGCCTCAGAATGACCCAGCTCCCAGACCCGGACTCCTGGCAGGGGCGGCCCCACACGTCACCCTGCGCCTCACCCTGCCAACAAGCCACCAAGTCCCCCGCGCCAAGGGTGTCAGGCCACTGCCGAAACCCGCTCGGAGATGCCAGGACCCCAGAACCTGCTGGTGCCGGCAGCTCTGTTCACTGGAAGGACAGCGCCCTGGCCAGTCCCAGCACCTGCAGGACAACCGCTCTCCCGGGATTGAACACTGGGGGGGCCCTCGATTGAGGCGCTGGAGGATAGCTGTGCCCTCGGGAGCTGGGCACGGGGCGGGCGCTGCAGGTTAGAGGGAGATAGCTTTGCTGTGTGACTGTTCTCACCTCACTTCCGGGCATCTGCTGCTGGTGTGTAAGAAAGTTCGTGTTAACTGTCCAAGATCGCAGCCTGTGTTCGTTTGGGAGGATGTGGGGGCACGCCAGAAACTGAGGCCCAGGCACCCTGCAGTCACTAGGTGGGTTGACCAAAGCAGGACCATGGAGCAGGCAGGAATGGGGGTTGTGGGTGGGGCTTGAGGGGGTCAGATGCCCCACAGCTTGAGGCTCCTGAGAGGCCCATCCCCACTGGACCCAGCCCCAGCCCTCACTGCCCATCAGCCCAGGTCACAGGACGCCACCAAGGCGTTTGGCTGGTGCTGGGCCTGGCAGCTGCTCGCTCCCCGCGGCCCTTTTATTTGCAAAGTCGTACAAAGAAACACTTCAGGGCCATGTTCCCAGGACAGGACAGGAACCCCCAACAGGCAGCAAGGAACTGAACTCTCCTAGCTGAGGACACCCAGGCGGGGCGGGGGGACAGAAATGCAGGGGGATGGAGACACTGAACAGGTCAGGGGGACTCCTCGCAGTTCCTGGGGCCTCTGCACCACTTCCTGGAGCTAATCTAGTGGAGGTTTGGGGGCTTGTCCTCAGACACACAAGCCCCCATCTGTTGGCTGGGCAGCTCACCTGAGCCTGTGTGTCGTGGAACCCCACGTGGGTAGGGGGGCCCACAGCCACGGGCTTGCCTAGGCGTGGTGCCCCGTGGGGAGCCGGCAGTGACAAACGGGGGGCTGCTGCCCACGCACTTTATTAGCTGCACCAGGAGCCTGCCCTGCCCCACATGGAATGTGATGACGGGCTCCGCCCGCCCAAGCACCGGGCGCAGGAGGCCCTCCCCACCCAGCCCTGTGTCGGGTCCGGGAAAGCTGCTCTGGAGACTGTGTGGGTGGACACAGAAGGCGCCAGCTGCCCCTCGGGCACGAGGTCATCTCCCCGGTGGGGGACATCCTTTGGCAGCGAAGCAGGCGGCAGGCAGGGCAGCCTACGCGCAGTAGGTGTCGGCCTTCACCACCTGGCAGTACATGGTCATCGCGAACGTCAGGCCCAAGATCTGCGGGGACACGGGGCTGGGCTGGAGCCAGAGCCATGTCCTGCGTGCGGGCGCCCGGCCCCTCTGAGGAGGGCCCCCCACCCTTGGCAATTCAGGTCCATCACAACCACCCCCTCAGCCCTGCAGGCGTAGTGGGCACCTCGGGCCTCCTTGGACTC